TTTTTTTTTCACAAATACACTGAAACAGATTGTTGGCAGACACATGTCATTATCCACAGAGCTCTACTATGCTAGTGATGACAGGGATAAAGCTATGAAAAACAACTGCTGCTTTTCTAGTGGAAAAAAACCTCTCACACTTGACTATCAAGTGAACTCTACATTTTTGTATTTCTCCAGTAAAATTATATATGTATTATTGAAACAAAGCAGGAACCAGAGAAAGGGCAATTTATGTGTCTTCCATCAAGAAAAACAGGTAAACAGTTACTACTTTTAGCTGACGTTACCACATCTGCTGACAACTGTCAGCTGTTAATTCCTGCCCACACTGCAGAACTAGTATGGCTGAAAAATACCAGCGGCAGAATATTTCAAAGGGCTGCTGAACGGTGCTAACTCTTTTGCCAATAAATGTAGTTCAGATTTGAAACAAAATATTTTGAAAAGAAAAATCAAAATATTTGGCATACATAATACTGAAAAAAAAAACCCCACAGATAAAAAAGAAAATAAGAAAAAAAACACCTTGTCCCTCTGCTGCCAAAACTTGGGTTTATTTTCAGCTGGGATTTCTTTTGAAGCACCTGTTAAGCTACAGAAAGCTAAGGACCCTCTTCAGAAGGACTCTGCCCTCTGCTTCTCCAGTGTTCTCAACTAGCAGGAACAACAGATTAACAGATTTATTTAACCATATTTTGCCTTCCTTTTTTTTTTTTTTTTTTTTTTTTTTTTTTAAATAGGATCACTCCTGTCTTTTTGAGAAACTAGTTTGTACTTGGGGTTTCTTACTACATACAAAATTTCAAAGATTAGTGCAAGAATCCTCTTATGGGTCTACTAATTTAGGGCCTTGCTTGTGTCATACCCTTCCTTTAGCTCCGTCGTGTCTGTGAAACTGTTAGTTCACTCCTCAACTATTTTTAAAATAAGATGTATCAAGCAGTAAAAAGAGCTCTGAAGTATTTATTCTTCTGCTCCTGTTTATACCTTTTCTTTTCTGAGTAAGTCAACCAAATTTTGATTGTAAGCACACAACATTTCGCAAAACAAACAGCTTGTGAATATTTTGGCACTGCAGAGCACGTCTGTCTTCTGATTCCTCCCACTCAAAACAGCATGATTTCCAACACTGACCTGTTCATGGCCTCATAAATTTACATGGCAGTATTTACACAAAACTTTTGACAGTCTCGCAATTTGAGTTTCTTGTGGCATTTTAGTATATCACACAACATATCCCATAATAATATCTGTGTGGGTGTAGTTCATCCCTCTTGTCAGATTTAAAGGATATTGACACAGTTGAAGAAGTGCAATTATCACCATTGACCACCTCATGATTTCATAGTGTCAGGAGATAACAAAAGTTCAAGTTGGATGCTGCACAGGGTACGTGTTCCCTTAAATAATGGTCCAAGGTAATTTGCCAAATCATATCCCATAAAAACTGTGATTACATACTATACTACTTGAAAAAGAAATAGCAGACTTACAGGAACTAACAGTAAAACATTTCTGAATAAAGCAGTTAACGTAGCAGACAAACCTGACTCTTCTTGTTTGGATCAGTTACAAAATTAGTGAAAAATTCAATGTTATCATTTCTGTAGGGAAATAAACAACTCTGCTACAATTTACAAAAATAACCCAAGCAGGCTTGAATTATGAGTCCTGTCAAGTTTAGCTTGAAAAACTAAAAGCAGATTGATGGAAAGCTACAAGGCACTTTTATTTGCTAGCAGGTGGGGTAACTATTGTGATACCACAGACATCCCTTGTTGATTTGGCATAATACAGCTTTTATGTTTGTTCTTAAAGAAAAAAGCAAACAGCAGACTGAAATCTAGAGATGATGCCAAACTGGAGAACTGTCATACACCAATGGCATGAAAATAGCAACAAAACCATCATAAATACTGGCAAGATATAAAATAAGATTTAACTGGCAAAGCAGCAGTTTATACATATTGAGAAAAATAAACCAAATCATCAGAACATAATCCATGAATACAAAGCAGATATTCAGAAAAGGCAGCAAGCAAATACTGCAATTAGATTGAAAAATCTGTATAATTTTTTGTAGCCCCTTGTATCTACAGAACTACACTGAACCTGGAAAAATCCTGAAGGCAGACAATAAATTAGGTTCAAAGCAATTCAGTACCCTCGAGGGGAGGAGAAGGTCTCAATCTGATGACAAAGCATCAGAGGTGGAAGGCTGCTGTATCAAGACCTGTACAACAAATCCGACTAGAACCATCACACTGCCTTAGAAACAATCTGTACCATGTGCATGTGCAATAGCTATCAATAACAGATTTTTGTTCTAGAAGAGCTATGGGAAAGGAAACCATAATTGTGGTGACATGTTACTTAGCATGAGTTTAATTCCTTACCATCAAACTCAGGATATCTCATTCTCTGTGCAACTGAAATTCCTGTTAAACAATTTTAGGAAGTGCAAGGAATGCATGATTAGTTCAACAGCAATTCCAATCTTCCTCTGCCCATGCACTATGCCACTCGCTCCCTCAAACAGAACTGATGAAAATATGCACACAGATGCCTTGTGCTTCACTATCAGAAACAGGTAATGAAACCGGGGCGGGGAATAAATCAAATAACCAAATAAATCAAAGAACCAGACACCTTAATGAACTGATCTAGAGAAAAAGAATTCAAAACAAAACAACACTAAAACTCAAAGGGTTTAGGTTTCCCAACCTACAATAAATATAATAATGGCTCACAAACATTTCCAGTTTACAAAGAGAGCTAAAAGAGACTTCAAATCTCTCATGAAACAAATGGAACTGTGGAAAGAAAAAATAAAATAAAGAAATCCTATATTGTGTTTTGGGAAGGTTGCCTCTGGATCCTGCTATTGCTAATAGCGTGTAAACAGTAGCCCTGGCTATAGTAGGTATAATAACAAGGTACTGTTAGTAGCTTTTCCACTGGATTACTGTTCATTGTGGTCACTGTGAGTGTAGGCAACATTCACTGATAAAATCCATTAGATTAGAAATTGCTATCATGAAGGGTTATAACAGAGTAAATAAAGATGGTTGAGAATATCCCTTTTTTCCATTTCTTAATTCCTCTTACCTCTCTCTGATTCTTCAAGTGGAATTGCACCTCAACATGTACTACCAGTGCTTGAAACTGGCTACGTCCATGCTCATTCTACACAAAGAAAGAGTTCCCACCTCTTTTTGCAAGCTACTTCCAGCAGCACATTACCTACCCCATACAATGCCCACAATTTGCTCTTGGACAGACAGTTTCTTCCCCTCTGTGTCTTTCCTTGGGTGTTGACACACAACCTGACAGTGAAAACTAACTGGTAGTTAGGCCATCAGTCCCTCTAGTTTCTCATCAGTCCCTTCTAGTTTCTCTGACTTTTCAAAGGTCGCTCTGGACTTAATACTGAAAGAATACTAATTTCTAACATATTGTCAAGTAAAGTTTTTTTAAAATCAACAGAGAAATAGGAAAAAAGTTTCAGTTCTCTATTTTATAATGGTGTCTTCTGAACAACTGTTCCATGACTCTTTTTTCAGCATTCCCTACCAGCTTTCTGAGGAGCTTTCTTATGCCCTCAGGACAACTACCCAGCCCAGGCAGATCTGTGCTCACATGACTGCTGGTCATTAGAGGTAGCTGCATCTTTTGGTACTACAAAGATGCCAAGTGGTCCTGGTCAGGCTAAACTAGTGTCTCCTCTTTAGACTACACAAAAGAAGGAAACTAAGTCTTTGCAGACCTCAACCCAGAGCAAACAGCTGAGAACAGAATTAAAGAACATTCTCAGAGTAGAGAGATTTCCTGTCCCAAGAGAGTTCAGGATTTACATTCTGTCATTCAGATGTAGTTATGCAAACTTATCTTTCAGTATGAATTAACTACGGCGAAAGGTGATTTTGAATAAAAATAAACATAAGAGAAAATTCCTCACAAAATTATATTCCAGCTTTGCTTTCAGGTATCAAGCTGAATGCTCACTTTTCCATTGAATCACAAATATATGCTACAGCTACAGCTTGGCTTGATACATTCGGCTTCTAATTTATCATAGCTGTAAACAGAATTAATAGTGATAATTAAAATCCCCTTAAGTTATTTAATTTCTTTGATTAGCTATTATAACTATCCAAGTAAATAAATTTCTCTTATCTTAACAATAGAAAGTAGAATATATATACAAATTTAACTTACATTGACCTTTTAATGGCACTGAGACTAACATCCAGCTTTTCATACCAATAGTTCAGATACAATTTTGCACTGCAAGCAGGAAAGAAAATGAACACAAAAACTCCAGCGATGTAAATCAGCATATTTCTGGCTCACTGAAAATCAGAAAGCACCAGTTTTGATTCTAACACTATAGATGCATCCACTTAAGAAAGGAACATTGTCCCCTCCAGGAGTAATGTGAATACAAAGAATATAAAGTCTTTAAGCATCTTAGTTTACACATGACAGAATTACACAATTACACAGTGCTGTGTGCTGTTGAACTCAGGTCAGTCAGTGCATACCTGTTAAGGTGCTGAAGAGCAAATGGTAGAGATTAAGGTTATTTAATGAGATTAAAACTATCTAATGAATATGCACAAATAATTTCAGCCTTTCCGAAATAGTCCTGTGCTGTGCCTGCTTATTTTCTGATGATCCTTCTACATGGCTTTATTGTCAAATTTGCAGGTACAGTTATTAGGAAAAAACACAAGATTTTACTTTTATCTATTAAAATACCTAATTAGCAATTTACCATGATTCTACTTTTAAATACTGCACTGTAGTACTCAGTAAAAATTAAGTTTATTATTTTATGAGTTAGCAAAAACATTTTCTGGGTTTGAAGGTATCTTGGGATAAAATGCAGCATAAGCAATAAATTTTAACCTGCTAATTCTACCTGTACACATAATATGTTAAATGAAATAAAGCATATAAGTAAATTAAATGAAAGAAAAGAGGTTTCTAAATACCGTGACTGTTGCATCGTGATGTTTCCACAAGTCGATTGTTTTGGTCATAGCATGCCATGGCCTGGTAACGATAGCCTTGTCCACATTCCTTAACATCTCCTTGTACCTTCATTCCCAGCAATACTTCCAGCTTACCCTCTGGTAAAATACAGTCTGACCAATTTCCCACAGGCTGAGCACTGTACTTGTCACACGGACAAAACTGATTCTCAATCAGAGGATACAGCTGAGAATTTCTGCATTTCTCCCTTTTCTTACTTTTTCCTAGAAAAAACAAATAAATATTTTAGAAAGTTTGTATCAGTTTATATCTCCCCAAAAATCTGATGTAGACTTCTGTAACAAGTGCTTGCAATCAAATACACATCTCTAAAACTAGAACATTAATCTTTATTCATTTAGGTTAATGACTTGAACTTCTAAAGTAATCAATGTCTACAATTTGCGCAAAGGTAACATCTTTAAAATAAAAATATATTTATATTTACTTTGGCTAAAAGGGCTTGGAAAGTACAGTTTGAAAAAGTGAGCAATTAAACAAATATATCCCTTTTCTCCTATTTCATTGGCAGTGTACAGTCCAATAAAAAAAGAAATGTGTCTGGATAAAACTCTCTCAAGTTGGAGGAAATTGCAGAAGGAAGGAACATTCATCTTTGCTACAGCAGCACTTCCTTTCAAAATGTCAGAATCCTTCAGTTTCATCACCTGTTATCATACATTTGCTAATAATCACCATTCTTCCCTTCTAATAGAATAAACAGAGAATACAATACAGCACATATCAATATAACAGTCTTAGCAAGTTTGAAGGAGTAACAACTCAGGACAGAGAAGTATCTCAAAGTGTTAATAGTGTGGTAAGAGAAGCTGTACTTTCTTGCTTTGTTGTTTTGTTTTTTTGTTTTTTTTTTTTTAATGTTAATCAGGGTATTTTTTTCCCTTGTGGAAGCAAACCTGGCATAAAGTTCACTGGAGTTATAAAACAGTCACAGCGAGCTTTCTTGAAGATCATGAATTATTCATTGTCCACAGGTTTTCTGATTTACAGGAGGATGGAGTTAAGGACAGAGTTTGGATCCTATCACATTCTTTCTGAGGCTGCTAATGGGCACCCCCATTAGCTAGCTTTCCTCCACCACAGACAATACAGACTAATTGGCAAATAGTGCTGTGAGAGAAGCCAAGTCTCACTGTTGAAGTATCAGTTATAATTTAGAAGCAGAGCATTTTTTTTCTCTTTATTTCACCAGAAGAAATAATAAATAAATAAATAAATAAACAAATAAATAAATAAATACACCACCACCACCAACCCCCAAAGAACCCCAAAACAACCACCAAACATTAAAAAGAAGCTGAAGAAAAAAATGTTTTGACATGGAAGGTTGTCCATCACGTGGAACAAAGAAAAGTTTGTGGCAAGGGATTGGGCATCACTGGAAAAACTTTTTATTGTTAATTAAAACTTCAAGAGGTTTCAAGGGACACAGAAAGCATTCTTACTTGTGTCAAGAAATAAGATGGAAAATTAAGCAACTTATTGCCTCATGTGGTGGTCTGAGCTGCTTGGTGAAGGCAGCGGGAGAAAGGAGAACACAAAGAACTTGGAGAGCAAACATAACCTTGGAGAGCAAACATTCAGCCAGGGAAAGGACTGGCATAATCATAAATCCAAGATTTGAGACTGCAGCTAAGTTCAAAAGAGGTAAACCAAAGCTAAGGCTGAAAATGATCATCTATAGCAAAAGGTTGAAGAGCACTCAACTGCCGTAATGGTTCTAAATGTACCAAGGAAGAGGAATTCAAGTAGGTTAGCACCTGATCCTGTTAAAGAGAGATGATTGTTGATTGGTCTGTTACCAATTAGAAAAAAAAAAAAAATCCACATTCACTAGATTTTCTATTAAAAAGTTTTCTATTGGAAGCTCCAGGGGTATTAACAAGATTTTTTTTTCCTCAATTACAGTTCAGTGTAAGAAAAACTAAACCTATGAACACAGGCTCAATTCAGTCTGGTGAAAATTCAATCTGGTTAGACAATGCTGGTAGGATACAGCTTGTGCATGGAATCATGGTTGCTGAGTAATTAAAACAAATTGTAGACCTGCTCCCTAAACTCTTAGCTGAGAAGACACACATAAATCAAGAAAAATTAATAGAGTCTGTGGCCACTCTGGTTTTCATTATCAGTTTTCCAAATCTATTTTCTTGTCTTAGAGCTTAAACTTGTTTAACCTTATTTGGGACTGAAAGGGATCTGAGAGTCACATGAAGAGATCTTCTACCCCAAGACTTCTCCGAGTGCCTCATACTACCTACATCATGTTGAAGACACCAAGGTCTTTGGCTTTTTACACTAATCAGCCAGTGTTTGTGAGTTACATGCTTTTAAACATTCACTAAATTTTCTGTTTGCCTGAAAACTCTTAGTAAAATTAAGTTTGACAAAGAAAAAAAAGCTTTGGAAAAATATTTTTATATTTTAAGCTCTAACTCAGGAAAATTGCTTGAGATGTAACCTCAAAGGTCTGTCTCTTATATTTGTTAAATGCTTAGCACAAATAAATAATCTTAAGGACATCATTTTGTACAAAACATAAACCAAAACCCAACAACCTTTCTGACAATTTTGTACATAGAATCAGGGCTTGGAATAAATACAGTATGAAAACCTTTTAAATAGCAAACAATTGTTCCCCTTTTGGTGAAAAGATAACACAGGGCTCAACAAAAATGCAGATAAAGATTTTTTTTTATTTTATTTCCCTGTACTGGAGCAGAATGTTGATTAATTACGCTGGTTTACATTTTTCACCTCACGTAACTAGAGACAATGCTGACAATGCCTGTCAGGAAAAGCAATGGTATGATTTTCTGTTTACTATGTGCGCTTCATTTAGAAATGGATTTATATCTAAATTTTATATTTAGATGTATAATGGATATAAACATCCATTTAGATGACCTTCTACATTCTCCCATCTTCTCTCTAGCCACTTCCCCATGATCAAAAGTCTGAGACATATGGCAGGAGTTTGTTCTCCTGAGGTATTATCTTTTTGTTCCACTAACAGTATATAGAGAATGATGATGAAATTGGGTCTGCTTTCTGCCACGATGACAAATGTTTGCTTTTCATAAGGGAACCTCAGAACAATGCAGGTTTTAATCAAGACAGTAGCAATAATTAATAAAAGATGCATTATTTTTTTGGTTACTCTTACCGACAAGAGTGCGTTTTCTTGTCCTGACTCCTCCACAGTCCCCATTACAGGAAGAAAACTTTGACCAGTTCGTAAACTGACAGTCATCTTGGCAGGGAATCTGACATGTCTGTGTTAAGGATGGTAATGGGCCAGAGTATTTAAGGCATTCACTGATGTCAGCCTGTCCTCCGTCTTGTCTGCGACACGTAATTGCTGGAAGCAAACAGGGATGGAGTTTAATTCAGCATTTTTTCCACAAATGTCTCTATTTAATTTAGTAAGTCTACAGTATTCTACCACAAAATCACACTGAAATTCCAGAACAGCTATACAACAACCTAATATTTGCAGTCAGTTATACCTTGAATGAATACATTTGACATCTCTGACTTTTTCGAGATTCTGTTTGAATTACTATTTATCAGGATTTACCAGGAAAAAAAAATATTACAGGCAACTGTAAATATTATAAAAGTTGCACCATGTTATCCACATCTGTTATACCACTTTTCACATTATTATTTTTTTCTACAGATAGTGCCTGTAACTCAGAAATTAAAAAACGTGCAATACCATTCCAGTAGATGAATAGTGTATAAGCTATAAAGTTATATCATCAGCATGTATTTCAGAAAAAGGGATAGGCATGACATTTAGAAACATATTTGAGTTCTGAATGCCACTTAAATACAACAGTATTACTGTCTGATGTTCTTCATCATTTTTTAGTCTTGAAAAAGGATTGAAGGGCAAAGGATGTTTTCTAGGGATGGAGCATCAGCCAATGGTGGTAGAATTTTTTATAAAGGATAGACATGTCCTGAATAAAAGCTTCTTATGTAAAAGAAAAAAAGAACAAAAATTCAGATGGCACAAAGTGAAGCAGTTGGAACATAAGGTTTTACAAATAATAGGGCTGTTACATTAATATAGTCTTTAACAATGCTCTATTATTGTTTCTCATGGGTATTTTTTTTAACATGGTCGCTTATCTATTATTCTAACCTAAGTCTCAGTAAATCTAACTTTATTTCCTTGTTCAAAAAAAACATAAAACTTATTATGCAGTAACAAGATTGTAAAATTCTAGTTGTTTGTTTACATAATAGAATTATATTTATGATTCTTGGCATCTGACAGTACACAGTAGATGCAATATCTCATAATGACTGAAAGTAATTTGGGTCACCAATTGTTGCAGTAACATTGCAGTTGAACAGAATATATCATGAGGGAATATCACGTTTTATATCACACTCCACTCCATAATTTAAACATAGCACTTCAATTGTACTGACAATAATTGTTTTATTGGTATGCGAATTGATAAAAATTGTAAATTGTACTAACCAAACTATTATGGCATAATCAAGTTCAACTGTTGGAGAAAAATGGGGTTTGAATACAAAGTTTCAAAATAAAAGAAAACCCTATGAGTGACAATTTACTCCTGGAAGAAAAAGGACGAAGAGTTGAGGAAACATTTTTTTTTTTAGATTGCTGTAAGGTAAATGTAAAGGCTTAACAACCTATGATTTCTGAAAAAAGCTTTTTTGTCTTGACAGTTCTAAACTAAATTTCTACCTCATGTTGACTGTAGGAAGCTGAACTTCATGACCCACGTGGTCCATTTCAACCCTGTTTGCCTACTAAAACATATCCAAAGGTCCTAAGTGAATTGTTTGCGCCACATGTCTGGGGTAAAACATTGGTAAAGGGAGGGGGGTTTGTTTTTCCAGAGATGTTAAGCAAACAACTTCCCTGATCCTTGAGTGCCCTTCGGAGCATGGCTGCCAGCACTGTTTGTAATAGGCTCAGTCCTGCATTAAGTTGTTCTTACTGGGGGACTGACCAGCTGTACATTGTCTAATACAATTATTCTGTCAAATCCTATTATTATTGGTGTAGTTTACATGAGGAAATACTTTATTCTTCAGATATAATTATAGTGATTCAATGAGCAAAATCAATTATCTAAAAATTGAAAATCCATACAACAATATTTTAAAGATGTGTTAACTGTACCTACTATAGATTTCTAAAATTACACAAGTATTTTGGAAAAACACATCAAAACAGTATCTTTATACAACTCTAGGCTACGGTTTTAGATTCTTGTGAGATACTCTTCTCATCTAATAACACACATTGGTTTCTGACAGAAAAACACAGTTCCAACTAGTTCTACCATGTGGAAATTCACAGAGGTCAAATTCAAATCCTCTGTCTTGAGTTTGACCTTGGCATGTGCATCCATCAGCAAAACTAATTGCATTATCTTCATTGTGTTCTCAGGGAGATATAGGCAACCATGTTAGCAATGAAAACTACATCTAGACAAGGTCTAAAAGACAGTCCACTGATTAACCCAATAACTTTTAATAACCTTCTTCAAAAGTTTAATACCCATTTTAGATACTGCCTCTCCATCTAGTCCTTTGATAGGCCATAAACATTGTCCATTGAAGAAGATTCTTCTAGGTAAATTTTTTCTAAAGCCAATATTCCTTCCCTCATCTTTCTTGGTTATTAAACATTATTCCATGGGCAGATATCCACTCTGTCATAAATTTTTTCAGACTCATATTAGTGCAGACTCAGGTGAGAAGCTACGCTGAGGACTAATACTTTGGGGCTTTTTTCCAGATTAACTGTCAGTTGTACTGTAGCAATCAAAGCAAGAAAACTCTTCATTCTTGAGACCTAAATATTTTACCTTAAAACAAATTAGAGGACAGCTTGGCACACTAAATCAGTTCCTGAATCTTAATTTTCTCAGTGCCTGTCCATAACTATTCATGTTACATCCAGTTGACAAGATGTGGATGATTCACTCTATATTGCATTTTCCTATTGTTATTCTACAGATTCCAGTATCAATTTGAAAGGTTTATACACCTTCTGACATTTGAAGAGTGGGTATTTTTCCATTACTTAAAGCAGGGATTTTGACAACTGTATATATTTCATTAATACCTTATTTTACTTGACATCTGAAATGCTCTTACTCACAGTGGAGTTACTTTTTCCATTCACAATCTAATTTGGGCAAATTCATCCCCTGCGTCTGTGATCAAACACATGGTTCTTTTATTGTATTCTGTAAAAGTTGCTGAGATCAATAATTAACTCACTATACAGAGAAGTGTCTTCAACTACTCTAATGCCATGTAGTGTTAGACTAATTATTTAGCCCATACAACCATGCTGAATTTATTACAGACATTAGCAGTAAGTGGAAAGAGCATGGTACTTCTATTACTGAAATAAGATCAAGTAATTGTTAAGTGAAAACATAAAACAGGAGTAAGCTAACAGAAAAATCAAATTTAACATGGAAACCATTCACTTAGAAAATTGTTTTGGTATTTAGCAATTATTATCTTCCAGAAGAAAGGTGTGAAATAAATGGCAGTCTAAATTTTCTACACAAGGAACTTAAATGTAATTAAAACTTTATCTGATAGCATTGTTTCCACCAAGCCACAGGGGGACTACAGACTAATGTATTTGTTGTTGGCATAACAAAACACTAAGACTGTATTTTTAAAAGTCTCGTTATGTGTGGGTTTGTATAAAAAACTTGCCAGTATTACCATCCTTAGTATACTTCACTGAGATTGCACTGAGATGTGAGATTCAGTGACCCCTACAACTAAAAATTATTTTATAAATGAATGTGCTCTATGTCCTTTGTTTTCCAATACTCTTGTGATACCACTTTTTTTCAATTTTTAGGTATTTTTACCAACAGAAATATTGTTTCATTTCTAGAAAGGAAAAAGTTATTTCAGCCCACTAACTTTTCTTACACCTACTATCAATGCTGCCCAGGCTATGATTTCATCTATGTTTATTTCTTTTACTGTGGGACACAGAAGACTAGACACTGCATGATGAACTCTTTCTATCATGAAGCATCTTAAGCAGGAGAACGTGCCAGTAATATTGTGAAAATACAAGCCTGAGTGTTCTTTACATGCCAAAGAGAATAATGTGTTTCTTATGAATAAAGCTGTCTGGCGATTCTGGCTCTTCTTTTGTCAATAAAAAATTAATTTCTCATGTAAATACTGCTTCTGAGCATTGTTGTCCAAATTCTTACTTCAGTACAAAACCTGAAGCTGTCTGTTGTATTGTGCAGTAAATAAAATACAAACAAGGCAGCAGTGTGCTCTCATCTCAACAACAAAATAGTAGTTTATAGTTCCATGAAGGAGCAATACTCCTTCAGGATTTTGTCTCTTTTCTTGTGCTTTCAATAATGGCATGAAAAACCCAAATCTGCCACCTCCTAAGTGATGCCCAAAGAGAGAGGCTTCTGTCCCTGCGTAGTCAACAGTGAGAGGAAAGGGCTTTTGACCACTGGTTCTGCCTGTGAGCCTCCCTGCAGCTCAAGCAAGCCTGCAATGCCTCCTCATGTGCTCACAGCCTCCCTGGGAAAATTCCTCTGATTCCTCCGCTCCACTGTCTTACAAATAACTCTACATACACCCTGAAAATGAAGCATAGCAAGAGCTTGGGTTCAGCTCTTTAATACTGGCAAACTCCCAGCAACATCAAGTTCAGCTATTCAGATATTTTCTCTGACAACCAGGTCACTTAAGCTTCTGCTTTAATTTGACAAATACTCTTTCTCCTGCTATTACAGAATATGCTGACAGATTCACGATTTTCATCCCATTCCTCCTACAAAACTCTGAGGAAGATTTATGGTGGCAAGGACTGCAGGCTGTGCATCCTTCTGCAAATATCTTTTTGGTCACTGGGATAGCCCTTACCATGTGCAGCCATCCATATATATCATAATGTGATTAGGCTATTGCAGTTTGAGCACTTGAGCATCTCATCTGCTACATGTCCTCTTCACCAGCACTGGGATGCAGTCCAACAAGCCCTACTTAAATCTGCAGAATCTACTGGCAAAACAAGCCTTTTCAGTAAGTTTCCTAGGCTTTCCTATAGAATTCAAAAGGGATTTGAACTGTATTTCTAAGTTCCTTCAGAAGTCACTGAAGCTGAAGGTTTACCGACAGAGATTTTTAAAAGATATGAGCACAACATAACACAGACCTGCCTAAGTTGTTCACATTTTCAAACAATTTCATACATTATACTTTGAAGTTATCTATGTGCTCATAAATGTCAGCCTTAAAAATACAAAGTAGTTATTTCTTAGCAAACGCTAGTTGGAGCAGGTTCCTCTTACAATGAGTTTTACAGCTCACATTCCTATCATATACTACTAGTTTGACTTTATCAAGCATTTAGTTTCATGTTCTAGTTTTCAGGGGGGCTTTTTTTGTATTTTATATTTGCCAACACTCTGTGACCCTCCCTCCTGGGTTTCAGGTAACTCGTCGAGACATCTGATCAATTTACTCTTGTTAATTGAGAAACAGCTCATGAAGCTAAACACAACGTAAATGATGTTGCAAAAAATTATGAATTTTCTCTACAACTTCCTCAAAAAGGAAGTTTCCAACTCCTTGCTGATGCACCCAAAATACCCTCTCGTGGGTTTTGAACACAAGACAGAAGTCTTAATTACTGCAATTCTATAATACATTTCTGCCCTGCTCGTGTACTGTTAAAAGGCATTTTACTGGTGATATAACTGCAAGTTTTCATTTATCATGGAAATTCAACACAATTGTTATGACTATCTGCCTTGTTCAAATAAGATTATGACTACAACAGTGAATTTGCTGCTCAGGTATTAAATGCTGTGTTAATATGCTTAGGCTTAGCTATAAATACCTGTCCATCATTTGCATAAATAATTAACAAACATTTTTCTTTTAAAAATTCTAGAGAAAATCTTTTCCTAAAACAAACCCCCAAAACACCAAACCCTTTTCTTCCCTCTGCATTGACTCAAGTTGTAATTTTATGACATGTTCATTTAAACTGACATGATTTGTAACAAAATCTTCATTATACAAGACAGAAACAGAGCTGTCTTTAACAGTGAATCACAATTCTAAAATTGATGATTCACTCAAGTATCTCAAGACCAATGTGATAAAAAAGCTGAAGGAAACATAAATAGTACATCTGTGATATAAAGCAAGGCATGCATATGCTCTAGTCACTCATAGACTCTTAAGATCAGACACCTAACCAGTCATTTTTAGTGATTTCTAACCTCTAGTTTTTCCTCCAGATTTAATTATCTTTCTAACTAAAATATGAACAGTAACAGACTATTTTGTTCAAAATAAACTGCTAATGAATGCATAGTCAGATGTGCCTTTTCCCTGGTGTACATCTGTACTCTTTCATATTCAACACATTTGGTGATACATTATGTGTTAGAGTGTTTGTGCGTAGGCATTCAGATCAGAAATAGGCCAAACTAATAGCACTGGCAATATCCCCTTGCACTGAAAAAGAGGAACTGAGAACTGTTCTCACAAAGGGCTGAGATTACTTCTATAAGATTACTGTTTCACTTTGTCATCAAATGTAAATTACCACAAACAGATGAATGAATGAATGTGTGATTTCTGCATTCATGAGCATCAGAAATTTGAGCGAACTCTTTTAATTGAAAAAGAAATGCTGCTATATCTACAAATTTCACAGTACGGTAAACATTTGTACATAAATCACCACAAACAGTTAAATGTACTGTTCAAAATATCTGTATTCCAGTATCACATTATAAACGTAGTATCAGAATCTTATACTAAATGGATTTCATATTTCAGCGTTTAGCATTTCCTGATTTTAGGCTGATTAAAAGGACTTGCACAGTACTAGCTCAGTCTTTTTTGCATCTACATCACAAAATAATCTTTAAATAAATGATTTCTAGTACAGAATTTTTAATAACATTATCATGTAAAGTTTTGCATAGCCTGTAGAAACTTTATTTACAAGAAGCCAATTAATCAGAAGGGAGCCAAGAATTAGCAGAGAGAGAGGACAAAATCTCTTTCAGAGTCTTCCTTCAGCAACTGGTGAAATCTTTCTAATATTGTCCAGGGCAGAGCTCAGCCATGCAGATGCTTGCTTTCAGGTCAGACTCCCTTCAGTGAGCAGAAATCAGCTTTTGTGCAGGGGACCAAATAAAATAATGCACATCACTGAAAATTCACACATGGCTATTTTCAGAGCAAAAGTGGAAATTTAAGAGGGGAAAGGGAATATGTTAATGCCTTGTGTAGAAGATAGCCTATATAAAACAAATAAAATACACTATCCATGTTAACAGTGCAATTTTCTGAGGTGTGAAGTGAATAAAACTTCAACCAATAATCTCTAGAATTGCAGAAGTATGTTTTCCAAAGTGAAAGTTACTTTTGTGCAAAAATTCAACTTTTATTTCCAAGTCATATTAATTGTAAAGGTGTTCAAGAAACCATAAAATATTTTACTTTTGTAATTCTAAAGAAAAGTTGTACTAGTTTATTTGCCTCCTACAAAATATCAGTTTAGATTACTGGCAAAAAGGTAAAAGATATATTCAACACATTGTCAGGTATTAAAACATTGAGACATGATACATAAACGTGTTTGAAACTTATATTTTATCTTAATTTACATAATTTACATCAATGGGAAAAATACTGGGCCAAAAAAGGCTCCATCTTTAATGCATGTAACTTTCACCAATACAACAAGCTAGACAGTATTTAAATTTGTATTTAGATACTTGGACTGAGGCAGAAATAATCTTTGGTTATCCAACTTAATAACTTCCCCTGTGAATTCTTCAATAAAATTTATGCATTGGACAGACAACAAAAATCTTCCCTTTCTAGTGGATGACCTCAGAAACATTTACAGAATTCTACCAAGTCCACCTGCTTTCTTCAGGTTTAGGTGCTCTGAGGGTTCTTAATTAAAGATTGCTCATCCTACCACTTGATCACGATACACTAGAGAGCTACTTCCATTATACCTGCTTGTAGGAACAAGACTACAAGGCTACCGTTTGAATACATCATCCTTTGCAAGATCAAACTCTGTGTAGTACCGGAGGGAAATTCTGCCAGTCTATTTTACCAGATTTGAAAACCGTATGCCCAGTAATTCCAAAATCACATATTATTCCATATACATTCCAGTCATGTGTGTACTGCACACGACTAGAGTTACAGTTAAAAAAATATAGGAAATTCTCATGACACACAAAAATAATAAAACCCAATTTGCATGCACTGCAGTTAGCTATCTTTCATTATTAACCGACTTTGAGGCAAAGTCAAGAGATTCATGTACTACCACGCCAGTACAAAAGACATTTTGTATTATCTGAACTCCTACTGTCAAAGACAGTAATCTTATTTTCTCAGTGTGTAATCTGAATGCATCCTTCAGAGCTGCTGGAAATAGATTGAATTAGTGATAGACCTTTGAGAGAATTACCACAGTCAGAAGTCTTTTGTATTAGCAGGCAATACCTTCAGGTTTCATTTTTGTGGTAAGCCCTAAATTGATCTCATGTAACATTTTGAGTCAGTGGTAGGAGTTACTAGTTTAAGATTTACTCTATGACTTTTTAAAGTATACCATAACCTCCTCTAACACTGCAAGGAAGTTAATGACCTGATTTTTTCACTTCTGCAGTTAGCAGTGTCCTTGTTCAGGAATTTCACAATCTGCTGAGTCAATATTGTTATAATGGATAGGAGTTTGCACTCCCAATAGGCAAAAGAAATAAACCTTCCAGGAATTCAGGGTTGTCTAGTAGTTCAAAGCAGTTCAATTACTGTAACACAGTAAGTAGGAACTGCAATTATTTTCATAATTAATTTATTTAATGCACCTAAAGAAACCTCCTCCGGACTATACTTAATAGAGTCACATACATAATTCTGTTAAAGCCATAAAATTCTCAATGAAGACAGGTGACAGTAAAGTTGGATTTGGATGCAAAAATTATTTGTTATTAAATGGAAATGATGGAAAAATGTCTAGATCACTGGGCTCAAAGGGTCAGTGGTTTTGAAGTCCAATCAGTAGTGTTTAAGAGCACTGCACCTCAGTGCATTCCAGGGCTAATTCTGTTTAGCATTTTTAACAACCTGTGCAGAAAGCATCCTCAGCAAGTTTGGGGACATCACCAGTTTGAGAGAAGTCAATACCTACCTGAAGGGGAGGACTGCCATTCAGAGGACCTTGACAACCTGAAGAAATGGGCTGGCACTGAACTTTAACAGTGTAAATAAAAAGTCCTACATCTCGTGTTCACATTATTCTCTAAAAGTACCTAATTTAAGGGTATAGAGAAGTGACACGCAGACTGTTCTCAGAGATAGGTAGTCAAAGGATAAGGGGCCACAGACAGAAATTGCAGCAAGGAAAATTTTGGTTTAGGTATTAGGAAAAAAACCTGCAGTGCTAGACTGGGCAAGCACTGGAGTAAGTGCCCAAAGAAGCTGTAGGATCTCCATTCTGGGAGATAATCCAAATGTGTTGAGACAGCCCTGAGCAACCTGCTTTAATCCGGGTGGGAGCTAACTTTGAAACTGGCCCTGCTCTGGGTGAGGGGTTGGACCAAGGGACCTCCAGAGCATCCTTCCAGCTCAAAATTACTGTAGGGTTCTCTGATTCTAAATTTTCAAACAAACACAGGAAGCAAAAGTCTTATAATCCCTCTAATGGATATACCCATAAACACGTCGTGACATGCTCGCCACATGAAAAATGTCACATTTTCACAAGTGAATTTACACATTTTTTTCACAAACTTTTTTCACAAAAAGAAGCTCATAAAGTCACCCATCTCTTTCTTTCTTTGGTTCTTTTTGAAAACATACTTTCTACAAACACCTCTGCAAACTTGTTTTAGGTAAGGATGGTGAAATAAACTGAAAAACAATATAATGAAATTAGTGACTAATGTGGTATCTATACATAAAAATAAATTAACACATATTTTATAGATAAAACATTTGCCAAATATCAGTCAGGATGTACCCTACCATACTAGCATTCAGTATTTTCCTTTGCTGATGCATGCAAACATAGATAAAATTAATCTCAGGCTATAATGACTAAAATTTTAGGCATTTCCCACAACAGTGCAGCTATAGATTTCTAAGGAATAAATGACAGAAACAAAGGGTCTAACCTCTTGCTTGTAGCCCAGGTCCACAAGTCTCATGTGCTCCTGGACTGTCTTGGCGGACATACCATGGTACTAGCTGGCACCTGCGCCACTTGTGGGTCTTCCACCTGAAATGAGGGTGGAAGCAATCAACTTCGAACAAGACATCTTAACACGTAGCCATCAAAACTGAGGCTGCACAAGTGCTAGACAGTAGCAGTACCACCATAAGCTGTTGCTTATTATTACTAACTGGTGACAGGCAATTCACAACAAATAGTAACAATACTGTAAACTTTTCCCTCTTTCTTGTTTTTTTCTCCATTTAGGATAAGGCCAGTAAGAACACGGGGAAAGAAGGAGGAGGCAAAGGAGGGAAGAGAAAGCAAACCATATATATTTTCAAGGTTTTCAAAGTATAAAGGTACATTAACATTACCTAAGAAATATACAGTGAATACAAACGACAATATCAGGTTTATACTTTAATACAAAGCATTAACACACTTACACAAGATGTCAGAGAAATTTCAAAAAAGAATACTATATAAAATAATAAAATTATATGACTTGAATACCCATTTAAAAGAACTCCTTTGCTATGGCTTTTTAGTATACTAAAATTTGGAAAGTGGATTTAGCAAAGTGACACTAACATTTCATAAAAACGAGGACCTAGTAAATAAGGATGAGTTTTAAATACTAGTAAACCCTAATAAACTTCCCCTCTTTCCGAGTTTCGCTTCCTTTCTTTCTTTCTTTCTTCCACCTATATCAGTGAAGCAAAGATGTGTTGAAGTTTCCCAAATACGCTCCAGAGATAAGACTCCAGGGTTGATTTCTGGTTCATGCAGTATTGGGAGTGTCTTTTGGCAGTAAATACATATAGGTGTTACTGCATTTCTTTATCTTTTCCTTCTTTTCTTTTTCCCCAGGTCTTTTCTTCCCCCCTCCCTTAGGCATGCCTTTCAACACAACAAAAAATGGAGAAATTCTGCCTTGCTTGAAGCACAAGCACACTTTCTTGGAGCTACAGAAAGAGATTAAGTCAAATGAGCAAGGTTTCAGGATTTTTGTTTTGTTTTCTCAAATTTCAAATTATATGATTAGAAGGGTAAAGTTTTCACAACAAATTCCTTTGCTAAGTTTCATATTGCAAATACTATCCCAAAAGGAGAAATCAGAAGCAAAAAGAAACCCCAGCTACAGTGACCTATGGTGACAGTGGGTTTAAATGACTGTGAGGATGCCTCAGGCAATCCCAGAGGACTCAAAGACTCCTGTAACTGAATGGCAGCACCTTACAAATGTGGAACCAACCAAGGGATCCAACACAATGTGAATATGGGCCCAGACCATATCAGAATAAAACACAAAGAACTTGCAAAGAACTTTGATAACAAATGCAATATTGTGCTGTTTAAATTGCTCTATCATGAATATAAACTGCTACAAAACTTTTACAAAGTTCCTTCCTAGTGCTGCAGAATACCCTAGGTCTTAAACAGCAAATTGAGGCAAGTCTGGTTACTGTCACATCTCTGAATTACTGAGTCGGAGGAAAAAATGCTACATCCACAGCTCAAACCATCAGCTTCTCTCATGTTTAAAATTATCTCAGTGGTTTTGCACCTCAAGTTTCACTGCTACCTGCCTCTGCGGGCCAGTATCTGAACTAAGGCATGAGCCAAGCTGAGTGAAAGATGCTAAAGGAAACACACAGAAAATGTTTTTAGTATTAGTTCGTGTCATGCAATGTAAACAACCTCATCTACCACTCCCTAGCAACTCTTCTGTCTTCTGCTCAGCACATTACCATGCACTAACTCAGGTAAAATTTGCTACTGAAGATGCTAAAGAGATGAGGGGCAGCCAGCATTTTAAAAAAATAAAATTCTGACTCTGGTATTGACCAGAAAAAGTCCTCGAGCTATATTTCTCTGATGTTTGAAGTACTGATTTTGGTAGTTTCCCAAATGCTCTTTTACATCCTTTCATATCTCTCAGTTACGTACAGTGTGATCTCCTAATGAATTTGCAGTGTTAATATTTACCAGAGGATGAAAGCAACACGTTTGTTTAATCTCTATCTGTTTTTGCTAAAATAAGCTTAAATTCTATTTGTACCTCTGCAACAGAGAGTTGTTTCATGGGAATTAGCAGGTGGAGAAACAGAACATTGGCTTCCAACAAATACATTTGATATTTATTATTCATTTAAAAAAATCTTTTTTTAAAAAAAAATTTGTCAAGTAAATTCAATCAACTGCATCAGAATTTTCTAAATGTTGTATCAATGGCCAGATCTTGTCATATATATAGACCTTTCCACGCTACTCAGGTGGATACTACAAAACTGCCTGAAATTTTTCTTAAGCAGGTCCAGTGGAGATCCCCCACCTGTTGGAACAGCCCTCAGCATTCTCTGGTGAAGATTAGGTCAACAAAGAGAATTTTGTATATGAGGGGGCATAATCAACCGTGGAATTTCTCAGGGCTGACAGGGATGGAAAGATGGAGGATACAGAGTATGGCACAGCGCGGCAGTGGAACTCAGTTTTTCTAAACAGACAAGGCTGCATTTCAGTGCTTTGGATAATTTAGAAAGGAAGATAATTTAAATTATATAGAATGTCAAAAGAGTTGCTAAGAAAGATTTATCCTGGAAAGTAATTCTTCACTGTTGCTGCAAAGGAACTGGAACAAAATGAACCAGTGATTCACTATGGGCCCAACTCAGTCTACATATCTGTTCTGAAACCTTGATTTAGCTATGTATCCTGTTTTGATTTGTAGTGCATATTAGAAAAAAAAACCCTCCTGTTAAGAAGTGGAATTCAGCAAACTTTAGAGGTAGTGCAAATTGAAAAAATCATGTCTGAGCTGTCTCTGGTTGATTAACGCTACCTGTAGCTATAGCAAACGGGAGATGCTTCACATTCCTTTTCCTCAAACAAAGAGTCCGGGCACTCTCGACCACCATTGGCGGGGAGCTGGATGATGACTCGGTGACGGGACTGCTTCCTTACTGTGACACCTCCTGCAAAGAGTGGAAGAGCTTGTTTTCTCTGTTACTACATGGGGATGACAGTAATTAGGGGAAATTTAACATAACAAGTACTTGAACTGATCGTTGTAATACTGACATGCTATTTTGTCCATAAGCAGAAAACACTCTAACAGATAAACCACTTTAATCTCAACTAAAGGCCAGGAATATACAGCCAAAATGAATACACAGTTCAAGTGAACAAAAATGAAACCAGCTGTTTGCTGTCTGTGTAAGCTTGCCCTAATCATTTCCATGTAAAACCAGAAAGAGAAATTCTACTCTGGAATTAATTTACAGTTTATAGTTTTTAATTATTATAGTAATTCATTATTAATGATAAACAGTAAATAGATCCTGTAGGAATTTTTATTCCAGTCATCTTCTGGTATCAGTTCTTCAAGCAGAAAATTAAGAGAAAAGACACAAATCTGTATTAGTTCCACAGCAATACCTAACACACAAATATTTTTTGGTAAAAATCTTGGATTTTTTGGGGGGGGGGTTGGTTTTTTTTTTTCTTTTTTGTTTTTTCCCCCAGAGAGCTGTAGCACAGACATTTGGCTGACTGGGTTGATATCAGCTTTGGGTGGGTTATTACAGCAGCTGCAGCTTGTCTGAATACAGAAGCATGCTGGACCACAGCCAAGCAATTGTAATTAGGAGCAAACGGTAGGAGAATCCCGGTGGTGGCTCTCCACCACCTGGCTGCTTTTCAATGCAGAGGAAACCCTCCACTCCCAAGTCAATCAGCTGCAGGAGATGCCAGGAGCTGGCACAAGGGACAAGACAGACATGCAGCCTAGCAAAGCTGCTGACCAGCTTGCTGACACAAATGGGTAAACCCCATGAAATAAAAATTGTTTGTGCAGTATAAAAAGAGTTTGACTCACTGAATAGACAAAATGCCTGTATTGGTACAAATATACTGTTTTACAGAATGCTAGATGGCAGTAAATATTCATGAAGATATGCTCACTGCATCAATAACTTTCTTAAAACCCGCAGAAATAAGAATAGAAAAGGTTGGCATTTCTGTCCGGGATGATCTACCCTATTGAAAATATTTCAGAAAAAACGATTAATACTACTGTAAAACAACACAGTATTTAATAACAAATAACTATTTCATAGATTCAGATTCAATGGTCTTAATTCTCTGTTCTTTTTCAAATTTAATTCCCTAACCCTTTTTTCATTTGTTAGAAAGCACTAATAGGACTTACTGCAAAAATGTCTTTATGCTTTGTGTCCCTTATAAAGCATAAAGAATTGGCCATGACATTCTAAGTGTGTATATTTGATGTAGCAATATCTTACATTCTGGTAATATGGTATCTCTGAGTAATCACCACATCCCACACAGGGATTAGCACCCTGTGCAACACGAGGTATTAGAGAGTCTGTCTGTAATAGTACATATTAGAAAACCACCTCCTGTTAAGCTTAAAAGAGATAAGGCATAAAAATGTGGGCAATATTAAGCCACTCATCACTTTAACTTCATGTATGATTTCGAAGTAATAAAAATTCAGGAGAGACATGCACTGTTTTTAAGAGCTTTGCCAAGTAGGGCACTGGAATGTGCTTAAATCAGACCATTAACATCAGTTTAAAGCCTGCTGATTTTTATTAACTTTCCTTCAGTTTTCCTTGGAGTAGAAGAAACCAGCCAAAATTATATGCATATGTATCTATCTATTTATCTACCCACTATCTACTGGTATATAAAGCCTAGGTTTTTCTGATGAGTAAGCAGCCTGTGTATTTCCAAAGACCAAATCTGACCATTTTATAATCTGACAATGTAAATGCTACGATTGTGCATCTGTTTCGGTGTTGCACTAAGACATATCTGTCTAGTTACCTCTTTATCAGTAGAATATACTAATAGAACTTTGTAACATAAAAGTAGGCAAAATGGGGAAAAAAAACCCAAACAGATACCTATAGAAAATGCATAGAAATAACAATTCTTTTCAGTAAAACCACTATGTCCTCCCTGCAGCTGCTGTACTAGAAGATGTGTATAAGCATTCTGCCAAAGGTGACTGCTAGTCTAACTCCTTTTTTTCTTAAAATCTGTCTACTAGTACACAATGGATAAAATTACCTTCTTGACATGAAGAAGGACACAATGTCCAGTCACTGAATGGAGTCACAATACAGTCCTTCCTACAGGGAAGCAGACAAGGTCTCACAGTTTCTGGTCGGAGGCTCTCAGGGCATCTAAGAAAAAAAAAGAAAAAGAAGCGTTATCAAATAAATGATCATTCTGCAGTAAGTGGTGAATCATGAGAGGTACTGAATGCCTGCAGGCACACAGTGGAGTGCTAGTTGCTCAGAGTTCACCAGAATGGAGCACAGAAATAAAAACTATTAGCATTTAAATATATCAGATGAAAACAAGCCAAAACCGGTGCCATTCTGCACCTGGGGATTTAACTTTAAAAAATTCATCATTTCTCACTCACCATTCCAGACTCTGCCCTTTGAGTGTTATTTTCAAGCTTCTAAATTACTATAAAGAAAAGCCATCTAGTTTAGCTTAGCAAAATACATCTTTAGTTCTTCATAAATTTACCAGAACTCTAGAAGGAGGCATATTTAAACTAAATAATACTGCTAACCCAGGAACAAATAGGTATAAGCTGGCCATGATTATGACAGAAACCAGAAAAGGGCTTGAAACTGCCAGATCAATGAGACTGAAAGAGTGTGTCAGAAGGACAGAAAACCTCACTTGTTTTAGGAAGAGGCTTGATCAGCATACAAAAGGGATTATTGGACTGCCACATATGGGGCTCATTAACCCAGGTCATTTTCCCCGTTCTGTGTTCCTATTTTTTCATCAAGGACAAACAACTCTACACTGCAATATTTGTTTTCAAAATGATGCAATAACTCTTGCAGAAGTATTGTAAATTCTTTAAAGTAATTTCAAAATTACTATTGCCCTAAAAGCATACAGACTGTAGACTGTCAGAGGAATATGGTAATGAGGTAAGAAAAATATCACTTCCTTATTTTAGACCTTTTGGCTCATTACAGAAAAACATTGCTATGACTAGCTTTTCCTTTTGTGGCTGCTGGGCATCTGGGACCAGAGGGATGAGAGACCACTTTTATATTTGGATTGGATCAGTGGGTGAAGCTGAGCTTGCGCAAGGCATCTTTCTTGCTAGGCTGAAGGAAGCATTACACAGGTGACTGTAATGGTTTACTTCCAAGAAAACGTGGTTTCCATGCTCAGTGGAGAACTATGCCTGTGCAGTGTGACAGGAGAAGCAGGGGAAAACGAGAAGAAAAGTTGAGTTGCAGCTTTAGAGGAACATATTCTTCAGCAATAACACCTGCTAGTTCCTGATTTCCATCAGTTGTCTCTGCATTTTTCTGTCAATTCACATAAAATTCTCAGAGTATGATACGTTACTGCGAATCAGCACTGACTTCTTGGTGCTCTCTTTAATGACATCTCCACCCTTTCTCTTTTCTTCCCTAAAATACCAGTGTGAAAGACCATGAAATATCCCAGCTGTAGCAGCACAAATCTCCATCACCTCTCTGTAAGCTCTCTCTACATTTTGAAGTCAAATTGTGCCTTGTTTCTATGTGATTCATAAAATCAGGTTATGTATACGTGTATGTATTATGGTCAGGTACACTTTAAAAAAACATCTGCCATCCAATCACATATATTGACTATATTTTCAGAAATTTTCTCTAAGGTTAAAATTAAAAGTTTCTGAAAAGTATTGAACATCAGCCTACTAATGGCTTTTTTTGTTGAAGAACAACAGAAATTATAAACATACAAAAAAAGTCTGGATTATACACATTCACTATTTCACTGAGAACTTCATTTTTCAGCAGCACTGAACATTACAATTCCTCTTCAGATCCTTCGGCAAGGCAATTAGTTCAATTAGAATACCGTTTCTATCTTTTATATTGTTTGTATTTAGTATATACGGCTTAAAGCAAAGTATTGATTTTCTTGCAGTCCTTACTCAAGGTCAAATTAAACAGAAAAGATACAAGCTGAAATCTGTAACTTGTGAGGAAGATAAGGCAATAATATTGATTGTATCATACCACAGTAATCCTTTTTATTAAGGGGAGTTTAAAACAAGGTTCCTATTTACATTTTCATGTTAAATGTCTGGGTCTTTAAAAACGATTCAGTGATTTTAATGTGACAATTTGAAGGATCAACCAAGACTTTTTTTCACAATTCACAGGATTCGTTTATGACACAATAAAACAGCCCTCCTCCCCAAAATTTAAGGTCAAATCAAAGGCAGAGACATTAACAGTAGATTTAAAAAGGAAGATAAATCATTAGTTTTTTTAAAAATGTAAAATGAGTATCAAATAAAAGATGTAATGGTATAATGACTGAATAGAACAGCAACTTAATGCACATATACAACAATTTAGATTACTGAATGTGCTGGTATTATTCCCCATATTTCCATTTAAAGTAAATTAGGGAAAAGTGTACTTGGTGAATAAAGCCACAAACGTCAGGCACCGTGAAAATATTCAGTTCAAGAATTGCTGCCTCATGAACTTTTTAAACAACTGATATCAGCTCTTCCAGCTTTGAATCTGTCCTGAGTGGGATATATTTACAGACTGCCAAACTGCACAAAGATATTATAAAATGCATTTTACTAGCAGCTAATCTGTATTTAACCCTGGTTATATATTCAACTGTAAAATTAAATGATTGAGCCAAAGGCATCTCTTAAAAAAACATGTATAGGGGACAAAAACCTCACAAAGGTTGTTAAACTGATGTTCAAACTAATGTTTCAAACTAATGCTCTGTCAGAGGTGCACCATGCTTCACCTCCTTCATCTGCTTCTGAGAATATGAACTTATATGGGTTGTACTGTATTTAGATCCAAACCAGTACTTTTGCATGGGATTGCACTAATCCATATAGTGCACCACTTGCTTGTAGATACCACAAGGATCTTGGAAATGGTACTGCACTGCACACCACAGACATACCCCAAGACTTTTATCTCAACTCAACCTGATGATGGCAAGGAGCCAGTTGGATTCAGTAGTCAGTCAGCTGTCAGCAGCCATAAACATCACCCATAAAAATCAATAGTAAGAAAGGTTTTATATATTCTTCCTGTAGCTTCAAGTTTTATGTATTTAAAAGAAGAATTGTTCCCTCATGAGAACACAAAGAACAGGGTCTTTTTGTCTTTGCATGCAGTCATTGGTGATGTAAGTATCAAGCAGCAAAATCCAAAGATAATTACAGCATGAAGACATTTTTTAAGATCTTTACTTTTTTGGGCCCACTTGTCCCACGTTGACTCTAACACAGATGACCTTCCTTGTCTGCATCCCCACGGAACAGGTGGCCTCCCCATTCCAGCTGGCAGAGGAGTTGAAAGCAGAGACAGACGTATCCTCTATGCACTGTCCCCATGGGCCGGTCTGCCAATGATACACAGTGCAAGAGTGTTCGTTACAGCTGCGTGTTTCCTGTAGTGCACTACTGTTTGGGCACTGTATTCCTCCTGGAACAGTAAAACAGGGCAAAAGTTCATGCAGTGGAAGGAAACAGAGTTTTATTAAAAAAAAATCCAAGTCATAACCCACTCCGAAATCTTATCAGTTACATACTGTCACTTTGATTACATGAAAGAAATGTTGTTCCTTTTTCCTCCTCTTCATATGCCCAGTGTTGACTTTGACAAACTTAGCCAACAGACTACACAAAAATTCTGTAACACACTAATGTGCTTGAAGTAATTTACAGTCTTTTTATTTTGGGGTTCTCTAAAAGAGACTGTAAGAGATCACATAAGGAGGTATGAAGGCTCGAGGCAGAAAAAATGGTTAAATATTCTAGTTATGTATGTGTAGAGATCATTGTTTATGTCTAATTCACAGATCAATTAAAAAGATTTTTGGAGCTCTTGTTCTAGCTCCCAGTGGATATTTTTCCATGTTATGTAATTACCAAAGAGGATGGCACAGCTGGCAATTTCAGGTCCAGATTGAAATAACAAAGGCTGTTGCACGTTAAGATTAAAATGCATTCACGTGTCAATAATTGTGAAGAAAAGCTCAGATAGTGCTCAGATATTTCGTTGTGTCTGGTTTCAGATACTATGTTCAGCTTCTTATATTCAAATACTTCAAAGATAATCTGGGCTCCCAATCCTCCATGAGTAAAGAGGAGGTCTTTCCTCCTAGCCTTGATCACAGGCTACTAGATGTCTAGCCCTGTGAGTAGATAGCATGTCTGATAGACCTCTGGTGTTACTAGACATACAGAATCTAGATTTAAGAATTAATTTAAACATTCATGGCCTACAGAGCAACAATTGGACTCCTATCGCCTAGTGATGGAAAGTCAAGGAAATTCTAAATAACATCTCAGGTTTTCCTAAAAGACAAGAACAGTAAGAAAGATGACTGAAAGAGGAGGTTTTTATTAGTTACTGCAGATGAGCCATACTTTTCTGTAAAAAGAAAAATGTGTGCTCACACCAAGCACATGTCAGAAAGCGTATTAGCATTTATCTCCCAACACTGAACTTTAGGTTGACCTTCTGCTCCACAGACATGCAAGAAGGAAGGGGTTTTAAGCACTCATTGTTGAAAGAAATAAAAGAAACAACTAAATGTAATCAAAGAAACCATGGATACTTCAAGCGCTCCAACACAAGTCAGTCAAGTGTCACAAGTGTGAAAATACTTTATATCCCAAGTTGCTTTTGTTGTATATCTGCAGCAAATGTAAGGAAAGGACCATTCTAACAGAACCACAGGACAAAATCCAAATTCTTAAATTATTCCCATAGAGATATTTTAAACTTCTGACTTTGGGCTAAAAATATTGATGCAACCAAGCAACAGTAAACATCATATTAGCTGTCATGCCAAAGACTAGCTAATCTTAAATTTTGCAAAGGGGCATTAGAAAAACCTGAAAACGCGTGAATGTAATTAAACAATGACTGGAATTAAATTGTTTTTTGGCTCAGAATGGATGCAACTCAAGTGTATCAGAATTTCTTAAAATATATGTCAATAAGCAAAGCATCAAAACAAAATGTCATATGCATTTTCTAAAAAAAATAAATAAATGATAAAACAAAATTATGGTTATGTAATAACTTTCAAAAATATATTCAAGCACTTTCTTTCAGGAAATAAAAAATCTTCTAGCTAACAACAGCAGATAGAAATATAAGCAATGAAATTAGGAAAGTGAGTACATTTTGAAAAGAAAAAAAAAAATCAAATATAGTAAAGCCACAAATTATTTGGCATGGGAGAGAAAATTATTCCACATGAGGAGTCTAGACATGCTCCCCCAGTACAAGGGTTACAAAAGGGAGAATTTAGAAGAGATAATAAAGGCTAATAGATTAATTATTTCCATCTGAAGTTAGCTCAAGAAGAAACACAAGGGAAATATTTAAGCAAATTCATAAAGAGGGTGTGTGTGGGAAGAAATGTTTCCCCAGGAATGGATGCCATAGACACCAGTTCCTAAGGCATTTGAGAATAAAGTGACAACTTAGATTCAGTTTTGACAGCTATGCAAGAATGTATATTCCGGGAAAAAATGAGAGTGACATTGAGTTATAAATTAAAAACATTGGGGCATGAATGTCTGCAGCTCAGTGGGAATTCAGTTCTGTTCAGATTAAACCACTAGTTAAAAAACTGTGTAAAGAATGAACAAAATGTGAAAATAGTATTACTGAAATATAAAACAACTATCACTAGTACCAAGTCTTTGCAATAATAAAAAATATACTATTTATTTATAAATCAGTTTGCCATTCTCTCCAGGAAAACAGCATTGCCCTGTGCTTTCTCAAATTAAAATAGGTACAGAAAAAGCAGGAGGACTTGGAAAACTGGCAGTTACAGATAACCTTAACAACATCTGTGTAGGGGTAACAAGATCAGGGCTGCTCAACTTTAAGAGCATTTCAGTGACTGAGGACAGGCTTGACAGGAATATAAAAATTAATGCATATCATGGAAAAATAAAATAGACATTAAGTTTTATCAGATACATGAAAAGGGACATACCCTACTAAATAAATTTTATATAATATGTGATCAGATGACTGTAAATAACTGCTTGGCAGTACTAACAATGATCATTTCAAGGTACAACAAACAGTTCAAGCTGAAGCATTTCTTTGTGGTTTTGGATACTTAAGCAAAGCACACTTGGCAATGAAAGGCTAGCCTTACAGAGGGACTTGCATATTGCTCATAAAATGGTAAAGATATGGGGGCAGTTTCCTTGAATGCTCTAAGAGAATTGTCATACGCTTAGATTGCTTTTCTGCCCGATTCAGAGCTGGTAATGGGTAAGACATCTTGCTCTAGGATATTCAAGGATTGGTTTTTATGTCTTTTTTGTGACATTGTCTTGATAACTTCCAAATTTCAAAATGCTCAACATTTTTTAAAGCATTTAGTATAATTTTAATTAATCATTTTGTTATGGCTCATTTTACAAATGCGTGAAATTTATATATGCATTTCAAAACAGCTGGAATAAAGTATGAGAAAACAGATGCAACTGAAGTACCTCTTGTAATCTAGAAAGTGAGGTGTTACTCATTTCTTCGTTGCTGTAGGAACAAGGTAGACATTATTCTAGGCAGCTGCACTTCCCAAAGGTACACATGATCAGTACATGCAGATCGCTGACATAAAATCAAAGACTGCCCTGTTGGTGCAGATCTGTTCCAGTACTCCAAATGTTCATACTTCCTCATGTGGTGTGTATCACTTATACAAACCAAACAGGCATGTCCTATACTACACAACAGGATGGGAATTAGGTTGCATCCGTGGGAGATGAGAGGTCTGTCCCCAAATCCTTTCTTAGATAGGATTTGAATCCCAGACTCCACTCTCCAGGCAGGCTGAATTGAGGGGCTCCTGAGCAAAAGGGGAAGCACAGCAACATCCTCTCCCCTGGCTCACCTTCACACACAGGTGCCAGGTCACTCTGCAAAGTCTAGCCTGAAAATTCAGGTTCCCCAGTTCCAAAACTAAGTGGGTTTTTTGATTCGTGTTTCAGCTGAAATCAATTTAAACTCATGAAAATCCCTGTCTTCTCCAAAACCGATCCTTTGGTAAATAAGCAATTTGCTGCAAAAACAATGACTCAATTCTATGCTTTCAAATTTAATTACCAAGCACTGTTATTTCAAGACAGGAAAATACAAAAATTTAAACCAAACAAATGCAACAAATGTAAGAGAAGTAAATACATTAAAAAGCCCTACGTATAACTCCTCCTTTTGCAACTATGAAGTCAAAGTGCACTGGAATTTCATCAGGAATAAAATTTTAAAGCGTATCAACCATAATTTGCCTAGAGTTGAGAAGAAATCATTTGATCCAGCTAGTCCTTACATGTTCAGCAAATCAATCCTGCAGATATGTGATAAGTATGAGTTATTGGCCCATGTCAAACAGAATACCTGATGAGATGGACAACTGATATTCTACACTAACTCAGTGATGTTTAATAGTCTGTGATATGCGAGGTCACACTAAATGGTCCTTCTGGCATTATACTTTGCTGATCTATGAACATACAGTAGTCATAGTAAGATATTACCATGCATAGGCATCCCTGCCCTAAGAGAATATTTCAAACAAAATCATCCTTCACTCCTATTTTATTAAATTAAGCTTTTTAATCCTTTTTTTCCTTTGAATTTGACTTGTGGGCCTTTTTTTATTAATCTTTACTTTTCCAAACCCAGCGTCAGTCATCTACTACTGATAAAACATGGAATGTATCCACAAGATTAGTGTTATGCTGTATGACACTGATTTAGCAATGTCAATCAATGCAGTGTATAATCAATGCAGAATCAATCTGCATATGTAGTATTTACTAAAATATTGAATCATTTAGTACTTTTTATTCTCATGTCATGGCCTATGTAAAGTAGTCTCAAAAAATTAACAGAAATATTAAACAGAAAAAAAAACAAGAATATCCTATCTCTGTTGAATGTAAGGTTTGTTTGAGCTGTATAAGATGACTTTACTAGACTTAAGCAGAACAACCATATGATGTATCAGGTAACATCATTATGTCCTTTGCTGTCATTTTATATTTTGAGACAGTGACTTTCCTGAGTTTCTTACTGTACCATGAAGATGTATTTGACAGTGACACAAATGAGCTACCACTACAGGCAGGCTCACAGACAGGTAAATTTATAAATCACTTCACCTTTCAAACCTTCGAGATGAGGACAATGATCTCAGAAAAGATACCAAAAAACAGTTATTGTGACACCGTTTTCCACATGGGGTCATCTCACAAATCACAGAAAATCTTTATCTTGAGGAAAGAGACCCCTTTATTTCTCCACTGAATGCAGGTAAATGAACCCATCGCAGATATGCATAACCACACTGTGCTTGAGTATGTGTGGTTATGCACTTCAGTGTATGGTTTGAACATGTGGAAGAGGTGTTGTCCTGAATGAGGAAATGCTGATGAGAGGGGATATGGCTGAGTTCAGCTCCCGGCTCAAGCAGAACTCCATGTGGTGCTAGAGGAGCAATCATATTCTACATTTCACTAGTAAACTTTGTCTCTACTGTAATTTACATATGGCTTCAATATTTCCTGTGAAGCTCTTCTTGTCACCAAGGAATTATTGTAATACTACTGAGTTATTCCTATTCTAAGTCATTCCAGAAAATTGATTATACTGTGGCTGTTTCCTGGTGGCCAGTTATGCTAACTTGATGGTTTCTTCAAACCAAGTCAGCAGCGTAGATAGCTGGGAAGTAAGAAGAAATAAAAGGTCTTAATGTGAAATGACATAGCTTTATCATGGAGCGTCACTAACAAGCAAAATGACAGAATATAGTATTTTTATTTCAAAAAGGACAGAAACAGAACAATCACAGGCAGTACTTCGATAAGAAGTCACCTGAGAATCAGATAAAAGAACCCATTTCCTATGTATTTACAGATCCTCAAAAATTTCAGTGGGGTGTTAATGTTTAAGTACCCCAATGAACAAGAATTATGCACTTCAGTTATTCTGAGGGATTGCAATACTCCTTGTGTACGCAATGACTGCAATGCCTTCATGTTCCCAGGCACACTGAATTCTTCATGACTAGCAGGAGGAGGCGTGTGGTCAAGGGCTCACAGTGATAAACCTGGACTCCTTATACCATTTTAGAACCAAAGTTTAGTCTTATTCATAGATTGGCATCGAACTTGCACATTCTTTCATTAATTAATGTACAACGCTGATATTATTGGAATTGTATATATTTATGTACAATATATTTGTCCTATTGTGATCTGAACAAAACCTCTCAAATGTCATGGCTATATTATACAGGAATTACTATGAAATGCCTTACCTAACCTGGTCTGTCTCTCACATCAACAGTTCAAGGAAAGGTTCAAAAATCCCAAAAGGAACATCTGTAGGACTGTTCACCTGAACAGAAACTGATAGGTGTTTTCAGAAGTCAGATTTAATGTGTAAATGGAATTACTGGTCTTCCATTTAGGAGAATTGGGATTTTTAGTTATACATGATGTTTATGGAGTTTTCATTGACAATAATGTGCACTTTTATAAGCTCTGAATAGAACTGGAACTCATTTCACAAAAAAAAAAAAAAAAAAGTTAATGTGGAGCCTCCTTTTTATATCAGCAGAATACAGATGTTCAGTATCTGAACATATCTCCTAGAATATGGAGAAGGCTGAGGTAGTCAGTGACTTTTTTGCCTCAGTCTTCACCACCAGGGACTAAAGCCACACCGCCCAGGTCACAGAAGGCAAAGGTGGGGACTGGGAGAATGAAGAACTCACTGTAGAAGATCAGATTCAAGACCATCTAAGAAACCTGAAGTTACACAAGTCCATGGGACATGATGAGATGCATCTGTGAGACTTGAGGGTGGATGAAGTTCCTAAGCAACTACCCATCATATCTGGGAAGTCATGGCAGTCCATCAAATTGTGCCTGACAAGTCTGATGGCATTCTACGATGGGGTGACAGCACTGGTGGATAAGGGAAGAGCAACTGACATAATCTACGTGGACTTGTGCAAAACATTTGACACTGTCCCACACAACATCCTTGTCTCTAAATTGGAAATACATGGATTTGATGGATGGAGCACTCAGAGGATAAGGAATTGGCTGGATGGTCGCACTCAAAGAGCTATGGTCAATGGCTCAATGTCCAGGTGGAGAGCAGTGATGAGTGGCGATCCTCAGGGGTCGGTACTGGGACCAGCACTGTTTAACACCTTTGTTGGCACCATGGGCAGTGGGATTGAGTACACTCTCAGCAAGTTTGCTGATGACACCTGGTGAGGGAAGGGATGTGCCATCCAGAGGGACCTGGACAGGCTGGAGAGGTGGGACCGTGTGAACCTCATGAAGTTCAACAAGGCCAAGTGTACATGGGTCGGGGCAATCCCAAGCACAAATACAGGCTGGGTGGAGAATGGACGGAGAGCAGCCCTGAGGAGAAGGACTTGGGGGTGTTGGTTGATGAGAAGCTCAACATGACCCAGCAATGTGTGCTCACAACCCAGACAGCCAGCTGTATCCTGGGCCACATTAAAACAAGCAAGGCCAGCAGGTCAAGGGAGGTGATTCTCCCCCTCTTCTCCGCTCTTGTGAGACCCCACCAGGAGTACTGTGCTCAGCTCCTGAGCCCCCAACATAAGAATGACATGGACCTGCTGGAGAGAGTCCAGAGGAGGCCACGAAGATGATGAGGGGGCTGGAGCACCTCCCTTATGAGGACAGGCTGAGAGAGTTGGGGTTGTTCAGCCTGGAGAAGTCTCTGGCGAGACCTTATACCAGCCTTCCAGTACCTAAAGGGGGCCACGGGAAAGACGGGGAGGGACATTTTACAAGGGTATGTAGTGATAGGACAAGGGATAATGGTTTAAAACTTGAAAGATGGTAGATTTAGATTAGATGGAAGGAATAAGTTTTTCACTGTGAGGTTGGTGAGCCACTGGCACAGGTTGCCCAGAGAAGCTGTGGCTGCCCCTTCCCTGGCAGTGTTCAAGGCCAGGTTGGACGGGGCTTTGAGCAACCTGGGCTAGTGGAAGGTGTCCCTGCCCATGGCAGGGGGGGGTGGAACTAGATGATCTTTAAGGTCCCTTCCAACTCAAACTGTTCTATGATTCTATGAATATATTCTGTGCCCCCAGAACATAAAATGACCTTCCAGCACCAACTACAGAATCAGTGTTTTATGTTTTGGGAACACAGCTAATCTCTATCACACAATTCTGGAGGTGAAAAGTCATTCAGCCATTTGTCATGCAGCAAATGACTAAAAGGCATAAGAGACATATGAGGAGAAAAGTGACAATAACTATAATTTCAGTGAAACATAAAAAATAAAAGCTAAATTGATACATTTTGAATATATTACAAGAAAAAGTGAAAAGTACCATCCAGGTAGGGTTGTAATGACAGGATAATTCTTGGAAGTTTCTTTTGGTTTTTTTTAAATATATTTTTATTCTCTGGAGTTTGTACAGAGTGCAGAAGAGCATGGTGTTTAAGATTCCTGACAAAGACGTGAGTGAATTGCTATAACTAGGCAGACATATCAGCTCATATCTTTAAAAAAGGCACATAATAACCTCATAGTGGAGTAGTGGTAAAGATGCCAGTGTTCAAGAAAAGCTCAAGCACTTCAATGTCTAGGTAATGAGTTAGCTTTCTCAGCAGTAGTTTAGGGATCTCTTCACTATTACCTGTGTGGTTTGAGACCTGTCAGTCTTTGTGATCACTCAGTGCTGTTTCTAATCATTGCACAACAGACATAAACAAAATTCACATACCTGAAATCTAGGCTATGCTTAACTGCTTTGCTGCATCTGCAGCCTTGTAAATTATCCTAAATTAAGTATCAAAGTCAGAATAAAATGAGTACTTTTTAAAAAGAAGCACAAGAAAGTGGAATAATTTTCTAGAGTAATTTAGGTTTTTGCTTCTGTGGCATGCTTGTCAGGATGTTACATTTCTGTCTCCGGTAAAACTGCATGAGCATATTGAAATCTATTAACTTGACCTACATGGAAAAGCAAGAATCACACGAATATATGTTTATTTGAATTATCATATGAAAACATGGCTCCGTGTTTTCCTCAAAATGAGTTCATTTGACACACTATAAAAAAAGGGACAACATAAGCCCAATTTTGTTTCTTATTTTAAGAGCATTTCTGCTTTGTTACATAGATCCATCTAAGTAATTTATTATTTGAATCACCTACCAAAATGAATGTAGTTCTGATTTCCTCTTCTAGCAAAGATCCCTTTCAGGGAAAAGGCTGAAAGTGTCTGCTCTGATATTTTTATTTTTATTTTTTTATTACAATTACCCAAATTCTGTCAAATACACAGTACACTTTTAACAATTAAGTTAACTGTGTTTGCAAGCAGAGAAGTGTTTTGGTATATGATGAAGCCCGCCCCTTTCTTTTTCCATTTCTCAAAATGGATATTCTGTTTCACTACTTCCATACCTTACAGCTTTCACTTTTCAGCTAAGTTTCATCTTGAAGTAATAAAATGCTTTACAGGTTTAAAGAAGAACTAATCCATGCACATAATCCTTTTATATTGAAGGCATTTAGCTTTACTGTTATTAATACACGTGTGTGAACATTTCCAAGAACTCTTCAGTGGCTGTGTCTCCGTGCTTCCAGTGTTGAACAAGGCATTTTACCAGTTGGACCCGTGCATACCTGATGTGGCCATTTTAGAACCATGTTACATATATAAAACATTTGCTCTATTACCCCCCAAAATACTTAAGAAAAAACCAAAACCAGTTATAGGAAGCATGGAAAATCATCAAAGAATAGACTTGAACCTATATCTAAAACCCTTTTCTTCTTCTCCTTTAATATTCCAGCTGTGTCTTCTCTTTGCATTTGCTGCAGACATTCCGCAAGGACCATTTGCATGAAAGGAAACCATTCATGGGGTAGCATTTGTTACCAATTTGAGCTAAGAAGCTACAAAAGCCATTTGTTAGCATTTGAATACATTAAAAATCTCATCTTTTCAGTATTTATACTTCTATTCTTCCAAAGTGGACCTAAATTAGGGTTTCTAACAATCCTCTATAAATATCTTTCATAGAGGTCTGCACAGGATAAAACATTTGCATGGTTTAATTTTAACAGAAAATGAGAAAACCCAATATTTGAAATCAAAACAGTAACTATGAAGAACAATAAAAAATAGCAAAATTAACCGAAGTAAACAAAATCTCATATTCAAAACAGCTTTAGGCACCATGAGTAAATGTAGGATAAGCATTTAAATGATTTTTCTGTATTTAGAAAACCACAACTCCATCTAATAATTAGTTTCTGTTGATCAAGAAATTACTTTGACATTACAAAGACTGTCGAGAATTCACAATCAAACAAGAGTTTGCAAGAGTATGCGACCTTACCTTCACCTGCATATGCCAGAATGGAGCGGGCACGCATCTGCTTCCCTTCTGTGGTTTTGCCGGAGCAGGTGTGTGAGCAGGAGGACCATGCAGACCACATGCTGAGCACACAGTCCTTTGGGCATGGAGCTTCGCACACAACCGGGATTGGGTAGATAGCATCTCTACACAGCTGTCTGTCAACCTCTTCTCCTGGGAAAGAAAAGGCCAGCAGTAGTCGATCATTTGTTAAATTAACTTAAAATGAGCAATCTAGTCCAGATGGGTGCACAAATAAATTAGATTCTCTTCTTCTATATAAACAAGATAAATAGATTTTTTATTAAAATGACTTGTCTCCTCTGCCTTGATTCTAGAAGAACATGGTTAATGCTAGTTTAATTTGATATTCTGCTGAAGTGAATGTCAGCCTGGGTGGTCATTAGGCTTTCATTTTGTTAATACATATCTGTTTCCACAGAAAATCCTAATGTGAGTAACAGAGAATATAACACACCTATGGAAAACTGTGTACATGAAAATGCATGTACAGTAATCACCTAGTCTTCATCCGCATTTGTGGGAGAAGGGGAAAAGTAGTCTAACTTACAGCTTAGCCAGTCTTATAACCCACAATTCATCTCTGTATTGAAGGTATACATCAAAAGATGAAGAGAGTTGCAGTAACCTGCAGTCAGTGTGTTCTTTGGTTAGAAATATCTTCATTTGTTAGCAAACCAGTAACACATCAGCCTTTGTGTCATAGAAGTATAAAAAGATCTATGTATTCTGTTACATCAATGTACCCATTTTATTATAATAAAAAGATCCAGGCTGGTATAAATTGTTTCATGAAATACTAGCTAGTGTTTAAGTATCAGGGCTGCTTTTGTTTTCAGTAAGGAAACTGTGGGAGCACTGCATCTGAGAGCTGTCTGAACAGCACCCTAATCTCAAAGGAGTTAGTTTTGTAAGGTGACATATGATTTCCTGATCAAATCAGTTAATATCCATTAAGTGAGGAATGAACGAATGACCACATATTCTGAGGTCAGTAAGTCTCACTGACAGTGAACAAAAGCATCAGGATAAATCTTCACTTGGGAGCACATGATGGAAAAAAATGAACTAAGGAGGAAGGGATTTGGATTCACTGTTTTAGAATTGTTATCACAAAAAACAATTACAGAAACTGCTTGCAATGAAAAGCACCAGGAACTGAGAAGTATCCCAATATGTAATGCCAGTTTCAAGGAACTGAAAAAGTTGCATCTAAGAACACACTGGACTTCCGAGACCCCGTTAATCATGTGCAATCGAGGCATGGAAAGAGCCAGTTTATTTGTAAACTGGAAATCTTTTTTTTTTTTTTTTTTTTTTTTTCATTTTCTGAAAAGCATAACATTTCAAAGCTTCTGAATGCCTTTTCTGCTATATGATCCTTGCTGTACTAGGGCATAAAACCTTCTGTTGAATTATGATTAATCTTCTGAAATGTTATTGAAGCGTATGTGATTTCAAGAGGACTGAACAAGAGTGTCTATAGCACTGCACTTGCTATGATCCATTACATCAACCCTTTTTTTATTAGCTAATGTCAGCAAAATAACATCTCATCAAGATTTGCAATGAATATGTCTTCAATACAACAAAACATTTGTTAGAAATAATCATTAAATACTCTATAATTTAATGATAAAGACATCAGCCAGTGTTAATAACTACCACCTGGATTCTGAAAAGCTAATTCAGTAAGAACTGTGAATGCTGTAAATGAAGCCCAAGATCTATAAACATTGCTTTACCCAATTAAGTCTTTATTGCCTAACAGAATAATAATAAAATGAAGCAAACACTAATCTAAACAGAAACTAATTTTTGTCATTCAAGGTCTACAGAGTCTTCAAATCTCTCAGATAAGAATCTCTGATAAACTGAGTTCCTGAAAATAGGAGGTTCTTTAGTACTAGTGACATATCATGAGTCCCAGAACTATTAATGATCAAATTCTTTATAGAAGAGGAAAAGATGAGGGCCATCCATCCAATTTTATAACCCTTTAACCAGTATCAAATATTTTATTCATACAGAATCTTTAGGCACAACAGAACTGCAAACATCAATCTTCCTTGGCTCTGCAAGCCAGGGGAAGTCCTGCAGCTCATGCTTTTAAAATAGCCTAAAGTAGTCATAGTCATCTGAATTATAAAGACCTTTGAGATCAAGTCAGGCCCAATAGCTGTATTTTCACATATTAAAAATACAAATTTGAGCTCTACCAAAGGCTTCATAGATCTCCCACATCAAGTTCTACTTCCCTCACTGGACCCAATCTTTGCATCAATTACTTCTTATATCACAGGTCATCTCACCCTGACACCAATGCAGAAGGTATTCCTGCCTGCTTCATCAGAATGGCTTGTGTTTGGGTTGAAAGACAAGATGGAGGAACAGATTGCAAACTTCTTTTCCAAAGAATAGAAAAAAAGCTAAAAAACCTTATTCTAAAATTATTCCATTGCCAGGTAAGAAGACTCAATAAAGTAAACCACTGGGGACACTTTCACACTTTGCATGAAATACTACTATTACAGTATAGTATGTCATAGTGTGAACATGCAACACAGTCTTGAGCTTATTTATCACCTGTCAACTAAGGTGGCGTTAACTTGAAACTCAGATAAATCTGGGGTCATGATGAGAAATTCTGTTAAATTAGTTTCCATTCAAGTTTATATTTCAAACAAAAAAAAGCATTAATTCTCTCCCAAGATCAAAGCCTTCTTTTATCCTTTGCTTTTATGGAGAAAATATTATAAGAATATGTATTTTCCATATTAGCATTTAGTTTTTGTCAACTGTCCAATTCTTCTTATCTAATGAATTCAACAGCATAGAAATGTAGTTGGAAGGAATGTTTTATAATGGGTACTTATCTTCAGGGAAATATTTTATTTAGTCTGAATTGTTTCTGACATTTCACTAATGGTTTTATGAACAACTTGACCTTTGTTGCCTTTCTCTTTAAAGCACATTGTGTAGTCACCTACCAGGAACCATTCAACCATAGGCTGGGAATAATGCCAATGTAAAGACTAAAGCCACTTAGAAAAAGTCCCATTTGAAAAAGTTTGTCATGTGTAGTCATATTTTATTTGAACTTCATAGATATAAATTTATGTTACGCAAGAGTTTAAGACAGAATTCAACTCAACTCAAAGGCCTCTGCCCTGAGTTACTTACAAAAAGATTAAAACAGAAGATGACATTTCTACCAAGAAAAATCATCACCATTTATCAGTTGATTTGTTCATTAAAATCTGGAATCTAGCAATAGTCCATATTCAGAAACAGGGCCTATATAGTTGAATGATATTTCTCTCACATAACAGATGCACATTTTGGGCTAAATTCTCCAAACCACACTAAAGGGAGTGACTGCATGTAGAAATGGCAGGAGACAAAAGAGGTTTTCTTTTTTCGAGGATTTAAAATGTCAAAAAGTTTTTAAACCTTTGCTGGGGTTTTTAACAGATTTGTGTCATCAGTAAAGAGTGCCAAGGAGAGAGCCTTTCAAATCTAAATCTCTTCCTTGAACTGTTATGCTGGATCCAGCTAGACAATCAGCGAAGTGAGTCAATACATTGAAATGTCCTTGTGGCTGCCTTCTTAGTGTGAAGACCTTATAGTATGCTTGCACACACCAAAGCCACTAGTGAACTACTGAACTGCTTAATTGCTTTAAAATAAACAACCACCAAATGAACCAAGGAAAAAACCCCACCCCCCTACTGAATAGGCAAATTTTTACAGATTAGAGAGGTGACTAGCATGCAGGAGGAATTGGCTAACTATTCACAAGTATCAGACTGTATTCGTATCACCATTCTTGTTTTATTACATTCACAAAGCAGGTATGGTCTGAAAACTTGGTCTAGATGCTCAAGGTTGGGCTAGGCTGCAGAAGACCTACATTCCGTGTTTAATGTAGTTAAATCACATCACTCCTTTGTGCTTTTGTTTACTCATCTGTAAAATGCATCTGATATTTACATTTCTTGTAAAATGTTTTAAGATCTTTCCAATGGAAAGCATTCCCAGAGCTGATATCACTAGAGAGACATGGTAAGGCAACCCTCTTGCTTACTGTGCATTTTTTAATGTGATACATGCTTCAGTGCACAGTAAAAAATTGCTGTCAAATTCTGACCTGTAGTAAATGGAAAGGCAAGTGCTTAACAGAGGGTAAGTTTTTTTTTAAAGCCTTAAAATGATCAGTAAAATCACTGCAAGATTCAATGAGGCATAGAGAACAACTAAAAAAATAGCAACATAAAATAAAATTGCTGCTGGAGTCCTATGTAATAAGGCAGTGAACATGGTCTCAGTCCCATACCTGGAAAACAGCTATAGTCTCTGAAAGGCTGAACTATAACCTGATATTAACTAAGTAAAAAATTGACAATAAAATCACAATAAATGGGATCAAATCAAGAGACCGCTTTGAACATTAATACTGAACATTATTTTTTAAGTGCCTGGGTAAGCAGTAAAGGACGGGAATATCACATAGTGGTAAAACAAATCTTGCAGTTATATTTTAAAGTTCATAAAAGAAGTACTGACAGCAACTGAGCCTAAATGCTAAAAATATAAACTTCAGACTCTCTATTGCTTAATTGAATGTGTTCAAATTTACTAGTATATCTGCAACTCTAAGAAAAAAAAATAAGAAAAAGGCTCAGTTATGCCAATATCTTCTTTTTGTGGCTTCTGGTAGCCACATATAATAGTCTGCTTTTAAGTACAACAGACCACAGGAAAATACAGAGCATCATTCAACTGGTTTTGAAATTGCATATATAAAATGAGGATGTAAAAATACAAAAGGATGGACAAGACTGACAGTTCAGAGCACTGCATGATCTAGATGTAATGTTTATATATACTAGGGTATACTGTGTTGTATGTATGCCACTATATCAGTTATAGGCATCACCTTCTCAGCTAATGACTTTCTTACCCATTTTCTTGTCTCGCTTGTGAAGCTGAAAAGGAGGCAGACAATGTGTCATCCAGTTGAAAACTGCTGGGCACCTGAAATACTCGGTAAGGCACACCAGAGCTCAATTTTTAAAGCACTTGGTGTTTGTGGGTGAAAAAGAGGTTGTTATTATTTAACTGCCTTCAGTAATGCTTCTAAGCATAGAGGT